TAATTTCGATATTTCACCCCCGACCCACGCGCTGTCTTCCCATGACTCTACCCCGTCCTCCAAACTAACCTTACAACTGATTTTCATCAAGTCTCCATTTCCTTGCCCATATCACCACCTCCATATATTATTTCCCATAATCCTCTTGTCTGCCAACAGCACCTCTCACCCATCCGCCATTTTTTTTTCATTCAACTAATGCCTCGATAACTGTAGACATAATCTGATATTTTAATAATATTTTCTTTTTCAATTTCTCTTCATTGCCTGCATTTTGCTTACATTTATATCCTGCAAAGGGGGCGGCTCTCCTTTACTTCTGTACCGCCTTTTAAATAGTGTCACCCACACGCACAAAAAAAGATGCCGTTTTGAGAAAGTGAAGCTATCTGTGAACATTTCGTTTCTCTCGTTCGTTATTATGATGGCGTTCAGTGTGCAAGTTTTTCTTTCTTTCTTTTTTTTTTTTTGAGCAACAGATTGAGGATTGACTGTTGACTGTGGACAAAACATTTTCTTGTGTCATTTGAAATACGATACATTTCTATCCGAAATGAATATAATTATTTCAAACGTTCACCAGAAGTTTTAAAAATAGCATAAAAACAGTAATACTGAAATAGATAGATACAGAGAGAGAAAGAAGGAAAGAGAAAGAGGGGAGAGAAAGAGAGAGAAAGAGAAAATGTGTGTGTAAGAGAGTGATATCAAGACAATGAGAGAGTGGGAAGGGAGATAACAGTGAATGTGTTTTTGAGAGACAGAGATAATAAGCGAGAGATAGGGAGAGGGAGAACAATGTGCGTATGAGAGAGTGGTGCAGAGAAAAAGAGTGATAGAGACAGAAAGAGAGGGAGCTAGAAGAGAGAAGAGAGAGCACTGTGTGTAAGAGAGGCATAGAGAGAGAACAGTGTATGTGTAATAACGTGATAGAGAAAGAAAGAGAGAGAATGTGAGATAGAGAACACTTTGGTGTGAGAGAGTGAAATAGAGAAAGAAAGGGATTGAGAGAGAGGGGACAGTGTGTGTGGGAGAAATAGGGAGAGAAATAACAGTGTGTGTAAGAGAGAGAGAGAGAGAAATGATAAATGGGCGATAAATACAAAAACAATGCGTAGAAAAGAAATATAGAGAAGGACGATAAAAGACGACAAGAAAAAAGAAGATAAAAACAAAGAAAAAAACGTTTCAAAAAAGAAGAGAACGTTGGAAAACAAATCAAAAGAAAAATGTTAAGAATAGAATATGACAAATACAAGAAAAATGTGTATTTAATTAAAGGATTTTTTTTAATTAAAAAAGGGGAAGAGAAAAAGTCTAATAATTAGAAGAAAGAACGAAAAAAGGAAAAACATCGTTGATAAATAATGGAATTTATCTAAATTTAGAAATAAAAAGAAAGAAAGAAACAGACAAACATGCAAACAAATAGACAATTGGTTAAAGGGAAAGTAAAAAAAAAAAAATAGAAAGAAAGAAAAGTTAGGGAAAGAAACACAAAAATAAAAGAAAGAAAGAAAGAATAAAAGAAAGAAAGAAAGAAAGACCAGGAAAGAAAGACACGAAGAAAAAAAAAAGAAAGGAAAGAAAGAAAACAAAGAACACAAAGGAAAGAAAGAAAAAAATAAAAGTGAGAAAAGACAGAAAGAAAGCAAACAAGAAAGAAAGAAAAGAAATCAAACGAAAGAAATAAAAGGAAAAAAAGAAAGAAAGAAAGAAAGCAAGAAAGCAAGAAAGAAGTGGTAATAGATAATGATATGAAATACTGAAAGGTAGCTAAATTTAGAAATAAAAAAATAAAGAAATTGAAAGACAAAAGAAAGGTGTGGCTAGTAAAGAAAATTAATTAGATTTAAAGAAAGAAAGAAAGAAAGAAAGAAAGAAAGAAAGAAAGAAAAGAACAAGGTAAAAGGTAAGCAATTGTAGAAGAAGAGAAATTGCTGCTGAATAGACAGTGATCGGATGTCATCAGGTTGTCAGAATTAATTTTGATCAATTTCTCTTTCTCTTCGAGGATCAAGGAATCGATTTGAACGTCCTGGACAATTGGTACATTCAGGAATGTCCTTAGACGTGATGAGCACACAGGGGCTGGAAATTCAAGCTACGCATAACAAGTAGCAGCAGACCGACACGAGCCTCGCTTCAGGGTTTTTGGACAAAGGAGGCAGGACAGTGTATCAGAGCGAAATTTATAAATGGGAAACACAAGGACTACTTGGACGTTGAGCTCATAAATCATAAGCGGAATTCAAACAACCATAAATAGATAGATAGATAGATAGATAGATAGATAGATAGATAGATCCATCCAATATAGACTGTTATGCAAAATTGAAATAAAACAACATATAAGAAAATTCTTTTTGAAATGTACGACTAGAAGTAGGTTTCCTGTTAGCTTCGCGATTTTCAAATGAACGATTCCTCATAATAGAAACAATCCTCAGGACATTTTCCAAGAAACAGAACCTTTTTAAAATTCTGAAAATTCTTTTAAAATATATGTATTCCGTTAACCATTTCTTAAAATTTTTGTCGGTTTTGGTTTGGCGCTGTTCGCAATGGAATTGTCTCTCCAATTTGCGATTGGTGAGTGAAACGCGGGAAAGGGTGTTGGTACAATTTGCTGCAATTTCTATAGTCGTAAACATACGAAAAGGAAGCATGGTCATAATTTAGATAGATAGATAGATAGATAGATAGATAGATAGATAGATACTCTCTGACAAACTGACTGATAGATATATAGATAGATTCGAATATACTGAGATAGATAGATAGATAGATAGATAGATAAATAGATAGATAGATAGATAGATGCTCTCTGACAAACTGACTGGTAGATATATAGATAGATTCGAATATACTGAGATAGATAGATAGATAGATAGATAGATAGATAGATAGATAGATAGATAGATAGATAGATAGATGCGCACACACTGTGGCAAACAGATAGTGTTATGGTCCAGGTTAGGACCAAGGAAGAACAACACGAACACAAGAGTAGAAATAACGAAGGTATATTACACGAAATAATAATACAAGATGTGGAAGGTGTTAGTATGACTGTCAGTCTGGTTTGGAGTGAACTACTATCAGCTCGACTCGATTCGACTCTCTCTCTCTTGAGAGTCGTATTATACATAGTGTTAGGAAGAGTTCATTCTGTAGTTATAGGTAAGGACACATGACAGATAGATAGATAGATAGATAGATAGATAGATAGATAGATAGATAGATAGATAGATAGATACTCTGTGACAAACTGACTGATATATAGATAGATAGATTCGAATAGACTGAGATAGATAGATAGATAGATAGATAGATAGATAGATAGATAGATAGATAGATACGCACACGCTGTGACATAGATATAAACAGACTGAGATCGATCTATTGAACGAGAAAGGAATGCGGAGTGGGTATGTGAATGGACAAGTCAAATAAAAATTGTGATTGATTTTGATATGGGATAAAAAGCCTAGAATGAAGACGTATTGATACAACTGTGAGTGGGGGGAGGAGGAAGTAGGAAATTTCGGTGAAGTGGAGGCTAAGTTTGGCTTTGGAAGAAAGGCAACGTTAGAATTGCATTGGAAGGACTGAAGAGAAAAGACTGTGTAATGCTGGATGGGGGACGGTGAGGAGGTGCTGTCTACGCAATCGTTCCTTCCTCTCCCACCCAACATTTATCCGTCGTCACTTAGTCACATAGTGAACGTTCTGACGTGGCAACACCATCTTGTGCACTCGCCGACGCACATGCGCGCCCATTTTCTCACTTCCGGTTGTAAGAGAGCGGTCAAAGTGTGATTCATTTCTCGTCTTGAGTGAACATTCAGAAAAGCGAGTTGAAAAAACAAGTGTTTGTGTATGTGTGCGTATATGTGTGTATGAGAGAGACAGACAGAGAGAGTGAGTGAGAGAGAGGGTAATATAAGAATAAAGAGAGAGAGTGAGTGAGAGTGAGTGAGTGAGTGAGAGAGGGTAATATAAGAATAAAGAGAGAGAGAGAGAGAAGGTAATATAATTATAAAGAGAGAGAAAGAGAGAGAGTGAGTGAGAGAGAGTGCGTGAGAGAGACTGTAATATAAGAATAAAGTGAAAGAGAGAGAGAGTAATATAAGAAGAAAGAGAGGGGATAATATAAGAATAAAGAGAGAGAAAGAGAGAGTGAGTGAGAGAGAGAGTGAGTAAGTGAGAGAGGGTAATATAAAAATAAAGAGAGAGAGAGAGTGAGTGAAAGAGAGTGCGTGAGAGAGAGGGTAATATAAGAATAAAGTGAGAGAGGGAGGGGTTAATATAAGAATAAAGAGAGATAGATAGAGAGGGTAATATAAGAATAAAGAGAGAGAGATACAGAGGGTAATATAAGAATAAAGAGAGAGAAAGTGTCTACTTTCTGGATGAGACAGTTATGGTATTTCCCATTGGCGCCAGTGGTTACTTTTCTTTATTTTAATGCTGATTTTCTGAATAGTCACGGCCCTAGCTTTAGAAGATTTGGCGCAACACAATCTTCCTAATTTTATTTCCGCAATTTAACTTAGATATAGCACATATTATTAAAAAAATATGAAATTGCTAAATGGTTGAATCAGTTGCATATTTCCTAGTCAAGTTAGAGACCGATGTTCCGATAGAAGGTATGATTTAGAATGCTGATTTGGCTCAACACAACCTTCTTTTTGCCGTCTAAACTTGGTGTCAGTAAAGATATTCTTAGTAAATAAACATTAACTCGCTTGTGTGAGATCAGTAATTTATGAGTAAAATTTGAATGAGTATCCGAGGAAATGTTAAATATATATAAAACAATATTTAACCTTTTATTTTGAGATATTTCGTCGATGAATCAGTGTCATCAAAAAATGGATTTTATCTCCACAAAATCTACATTAGATAAGCAAAACGACAATTTAGGTTAAACGTATGAATACTTGATTTTTATATTAACTCTACCGTCCAAATTGAATACGGGGAAACCTCGACTTACAACAGAGTCCCGTTCCTATGATACGCCGTAACGCCATTTTCCATGTAAATCGGAATATATCCATGATTTTACCTGAATAAACACATCAATCACCTATTCAATCGCAATAATAAAATATTAATCTAGGCCATAACAACACGTTTTTATGACAGAGATTAACATAATTAGGACTAAAATCACATTGAAGACTTAAATATAATACATATAATGAAATGAAATAAAAATAAAATATATACAGAAATGGTTTGGTATATTTATTGCCAGTGATGGCATTGGATCTCGGTAGACGAGATGACGAAGCGTAAGATGTTGTTTCTCCTGAGAAGCCGAGAAGAAAGAAAAACAAACGTTTGTTTTTCTTTTTTATCGGGAATTCCCTTATAATATTAACAGGAAAATGTCTTTATCTCATACAGCGATACTCGATATCAACAGCGTATAACAACAAAATTAACCAAATCGTGTAACAGCAAAACTGTCCGTTTGTTAGACTGAGGTTTGAACTGTTGTATCTTAGAAATAATAAACGATATCACACTGGAATTCTCCGATGTTTTTATAACACTATTGGACTCTACTTATAAGAAAATATAATTACTTAATAAAAATGTATAACTACTTTCCAAGCTTAACAGAAGAATCGTAATGAAATCGATCATAAACGAAAATGACATATTAAACATTAATTAATCATAGCTAAGGTCCCGAAGCTCATGTAGGATTTAAATAATATATATATATATATATATATATATATATATATATATATATATATATATATTATATTCCAGGATCATTTTCCAACTTATTCAAGATGATCTTTGCCCTTTCTAACCTTCTAACTTTCTGTCCTGGACTAACAAGTTCCCTCACAGCTTTCATGTAAGATTTCATTTCCAAGTCTTTTTTTTCACTGCTCTTTGAACAGTCGTAGCTGAAACTCCTCTCTCGTGCCGAACAACTTATGGATTGAGTTGGATCTTTTCTAATTGATATCGTTAGCTCTAAGTTGAAATGATGATCCCTCTTCCTGTTATGATCTCCTAATCCAGTTTTCCTTTCTACTATTCCCGCTTTTTAAAACTTATTCGCCGTTCTCTTGATGGTTCTTGAATGGACTTTGATGATATAAGCCAGAGTATGAATGTTGGTAGTATTACTGAAGGTCTGAATGGTATTTTTCCTCTTACCATTGCTCCGTTGATTGTTTCAAGTCGTTCAACTGCCGCTTAAAACGTGTACATAAGTATATAGCGGGTGTAACAGCAAAATTGACAGAGGGGCCCGACACAAAACGATTTTAACTTGTTCTCTTTCTAGCTGAATAAATCAAATGGCTTTTCAATGATTCTTACGACAAATAGTATCAAGATGCCAAAATGTCTTATCTGAAAACCTGAAAAAGGAATGAGTTTAGTGTTTTTGTAGATATTATACATTTTGGAGGATGGACAATTATGCCGTACCACGATTTGTACAATTTTGCTGTTGCTCCTGGTATATACTTATGTAAATGTTTTAAGTGACAATCGGACGACTTACGCCAAGCAAACGGCTAATATTTGTCACTGTTTCTCTCTTTTCAAAGCGTTTAACAATGTCTTATATCACTTTTATGGTGTTGGCTTTCTTTTTGCTCGATGCACCGCCATCAGAAGAGGTTACACGAGGCTTGAACGCCATAATGAAGGGCAATAAGTTTCTACAAACAAAACACAAACGAAATAGAGTGAATACACAACAATCCAATATGGCGTACAACCAGGAACTGACCCACGCTGACTTATATATGGGGCAAATAGCATAAGTTAAAACAAAATTAATGAAGATTGCGTCGTAACCACGAATCGTTGTAGGTCGGGACTGTTGTTACCCGGGGACTTGCCGAATGATTCACTTCATCTCATTTTTATTTTTATTTATTTATTCATATATACATTTATTTTAAGCTTTAAGTTTCCCACATTCAATTAAGTGAATATATAGATACAAATTAAGTGGATATATAAATTGGGGAGGTACTGAGGACTAATGGATTGCGGTTCGAATTCGTTTCATTTCAGTTGGTTTCGTTACATTCACTTATGTAAAAATACCCTTGGGAAAGATATGAATCTATCTCTTCCCCTCCAGCTATGGGTTGAATAGCAGGACCGACTGGGTGGCAACCGGTCTAGGTGGAGGACAAAAAATCCGAGTGGTCGAGTGGTAAGCGATTAAACCGACTCTCCAACCAGACCTTGGTGGAAGCTGATTTAATTTGATGAGGAGAATAAGTGGAACCCCAACATCACAAAAAAAGCAAGATCTGTTAAAGGGTGGACGCGATCCTCAAAGTCAACGGCCATCCATCCGCAACCAGCAGTCGGCCAAGCGCGGTGAGAACAGGTACATATCTGAAGTCAAAGGAATGAGAAGGCCTTGGATTTGCATAAATAAAAATAAAACTTACATAAAAGTTAGTTATAATAAAATTTCTATAAACGGAATTAAATATAAATATATATCAAATATTTATAATCAAACAAGTTACAATAAAGTGTTCAGCTGCTTAATGTGAATGAGGCTAATGTAATTTTTATTGAAATAAAAATTCTTTTTTTCTAATGATGACGATTCATCGACGAAGTATTTAAAAATTGATGTTTTACAAATTACCCGATACATTCAAAGAATAATTGAAATATTCTCAAACTGTCTGCGAAAAATGCTGTTTCGATCTGTTCTTTATCACCATTATCACGCATACACATCATTTGAATTATCTTGACTAATGCACTTGCTGTAGGCCAATGGTTAACAAGCCGTTCGCTTCAAACTCCATTGTGTGTCCTGGGTATGAAGATAAAGTACATCCAACAGCAAGGCCTCTGATCAGGAGGTTTTGAGGAGCATGGAACCACCTCTTAATTGCTGGTGTTCCCAGGTCCACCTTGATCCAGGCTAGTAGCACCAGCTATTTACAAATAGTTAACCCCCAAACTGGGGTCAAAACTTTATGAAAGTGTAAAAATCGGTTTCAATACCAGAAATACTTTGTAAAACAAAAATTATTACCAGCAATACATTTTTGAAAAACAAATATTACCAGCTATACATTAAAAAAAAAATACATTACTTGCTATACATTTTTTGAAAAAAAATATTAACGAAAGAAATTTATTACCAGAAATAAATTTTTGAAGGAAAAAATATTACCAGAAATAGATGTTTTGAAAAAATTTTGTCGGCATTAAATAACTTATTGAGGCTGATATACTGTAAAACAAAACAAACCAAACCAAACCAGACCAGACCAATCAAACTCCATTGTAGTAACCTTATACTAGACTAAACAAAAGATTATTTAAAAGATTGAGCGCTAGACTGAACTGTTCCCATTAGTTTTACCCATTGTAAAACCCGGTCTTTATTATAAGTAAAATCCTAAAATAAATAATTATACCGAACGCTATTGGTACCATCTAACCCAGTACTACCTACCACAACTAAACCTGTTCCCCCCACCAGCTTTTCCGGTGAAGATGGTGGCGAGACACCGGGAAGGATTAAAGATGCAGCCAGTAACATCGATGAGCGGAGAGTATCCTAGACTGATGCGAACGGCCAGAGCAGAGGGTTTCTGTCAACGGTCACGTAACCCTGACTTCCTGAGGGATAAACTCCACCATGTCTACTTGCCCAAGACATGCTACGCATTTTAAGTTTTTTCATATCACATATTTAATTGAATGAATACATAAAAATATAAATTGAGAGGCACAGTGGAGTAATGGTTCGGATTAAGGAATCGGAGAGCCGAGTTCAAATTCGTTACATTCGACTCCTGTTCGATATATTTACTTACGTTCAACTACCCGCGGGAAAGATATAGGAAGAGATAGATACACTGGGTCTTATACAGGCTTGGGTGGCAATTGGTATAGGTGAAGAGCCACTCTGAATTCAAAACCTGAATCAAGTGATCGGCGATTAAACCGCTCGGCTTTCATGGTCTGTGATCCTACGACGACTTCCCTTCATGGGATGATGATGACTAACTTCCAGTCAAGTCTAGAGCACCCTGTCTACCCTGCTGTTTAATAGTGGGAGCAGAAGAAAAATTCAACGCAACGAATTAGTCTGAGATTTGAATTGGACTCGTAACAGTAACTTACGCTGGTAAATGTTAGACTCACCGAGCATCACCTTAAGAAATGGCGGCCCTGGTTCTTCTTTAATAGCTGTCAAATAACTTGCCCACTCTTAGGAAATATAATTGGATTGTTTCCTTGTGCCATCACCACTTTTATAAATTCGAAGTCGCATTTCTTCTAAACTGGACAAATTAACAAGACTAAAGATCCCATTCTGTTATAATGGTTTAAAAAAAAGATGAATAAATTTCCCAGTGGATTTATTTAAAAATGAATACATTAATCTCAACCTGAATTTAAATTCGACCAGCTAATTCCATTTTTCGTACTGATAACTGTCACACCACCACTTACATTACTCGTTACAATGCAAATTCTTTAATATATGCTTTTCTTTCTTGCGAGTCATCTAAATAAAGAAATGGTAAACGTCCGTGTGCCTGGAACCTCTTTGATTCGGTCTACACTTGCTTTATTATACGTTTTTGGAATCAGGATGATTCTGGAATTGAAAATCTGGCCTTCATCTGGTGCTTGAATATCCAGCATTGAGATGTGTGTCCAAATGAGGAGGAGACATTTAAAAATTCAAATTTTAAAATAACTGCAAAAAAAAAAAAAAAAAATAGTGATTTTTAAATGTTTTTCATTTATATTGAATTTAAAGTAACACAAAAACTTTGTGAATTTAATTTTTCTGTTTTAAATTCAGTTTAAAATATCTCCAAAATTTTTCGAATTGAGGAAATCAATATAATTTCTTCAAAATGCCAAGGTATTAGAGTTAAAGAGAAAGATTTCGTGACGTGAGGTTTTAATATTCCACAGAATCGGTGACTTGAAGAATTCAACTCAATTGAAGTTTCACGTAGTTTGTGATTTGAAGAACTCAATTTTCGGCCAGAATTGGAATTTCAACCCGAATTAGAGTTAACGCATGGTTTTGAAGTTTCATCGAGTCAACTGAGGAATTCAAAGTTATTTCTTTAATATTATCATAGCTGTTTTCTAATCTGGAGCAGAGGTCCCTTTAATTTTGATCTTCAGTCCCAATTTGCCCTCCGCAGCAGCTAGTTTAAAAGATTTTTAAGTTAGCTTAAATAAGCGCTCTAGTATGGTATATTTGTGCCTTATATGTATAGCTATTATTAGCATTACATCTGTGTAAACCCGTAACTACCAATCCTGATACATATCATTCACCGTAGAGTATAGCCACTATACGACATAAATATAAAAGGAGGTGAGGTGGAGTAATGGATAGCGGCTCGGACTGAGCCAAGTTCGAATTCCAGTCGAATCCATTACATTTACTTACGTGTTAATACCCTTGGGAAAGGTATGAATCTTCTTCTTCCCCCTCCAGCTATGGGTAAATATATCCTTGGGAGGCAACCAGTCTAGGAGAAAGTAACTCTGAATTCAAAACTGTATGTAGCCCTGACGTAATATATACTCTACAGCTAAAGAAATAATAGTTCTGAGGTCGAATGATGATGATGTTGAAAACGTACGATGAAGACAGCGTTAGTTATAAATTCTACTTCTGTATGAAGGGATTCTACTACAAATAATAATACTAAAAACCACACGCTATATTGCCTGCTACTAAAGTTACTGCGTTTTCTATTCTTAGCAATCTCAGGAACCCCTATACGACGTTCCCTTCTCTTAATAACGTGCCTCGCCAAGTAAGCCAAACACCCTTGCCGCTAAGTTCTTCTGTCGAGAACGGAAGTTAGAAACGCAGTTAAAATTGCTGGGATCGCAAGGTGAAAACGGAGAAGGGAAAGTTAATATGTTCCTTTTGATCACAGAACATAGGTAATGTCAAGTGGGAAACGTAAGCTGAATATTATACATTTATTTCATAGTATCAGGTAACCAGCATTGAGAAGAGCTTTCTAGACATTCAGACAGAATATCGAATGCAGTTTCGCGTAAAACTCCAGTCCGGTCACATGCAGGTAAATATTTATTAGTCCTACCCAAATACGTCAAACTAGTACAAAAATGTATGGCTTGTTAATTGTTACGCCTGCAGAACGAAATATTTCTCTGTTAATCATCTGTAAGACCTCATTGGGATTCTCATTAACATGGCTGATGCTAGCCACTAGCAGAATAACGTTGAGCTTTCTTGGGCTAAAATTCTCGGCTGATATGAAGTGAAAAGATTATATTCAATTCATTACGTGGTCAACTGCTAAGAATTTTTTTTTCTGTGTGTCGTAGCAGACGATTTTTCCTCTCCAGAATTTATCTTATATATTTATAAGTCTTTGAATATTGGTGCCACATACGATCCGATGCTCTTGCTGTATATTTCGATATTCTTGATAAAATCCAAAGAAGAATCAGCAATATTATTGATGCTGACCAGCGTCTCTGCTTCAGTCACTTTTCCGCCGGCGTAATAGGGTTTCCCTCTGCCTTTTCTATAAATACATTGTTCGGATGGACTCTTCGCTATAGTACACAGACCTTATGAAGTTAAGCGCAGTACTAGATTGGCAGCACGGTCTCATAAATCCCCAGTTGAATTGGCTAGATATAACCGTAAGTTCTATGCTAACGGTTTCTTTTCTCGCACTTCTCGCTTGTGGAACTCACTTCCGGCTCCATGCTTCCCAGCCAATTTTGATCTTCAAAAAAATTAAATGCAGTGCCAATTGTTATCTACTGACTCCTTGATTGCTATTTTATTGTTTTCGCTCCTTAATAATTTTTCTCTTTTTTTTAAAATTCTTTTACACTCAGTAACCCCTTTACTGCAACAAATTCTTGTCTCTTGTCGCTCTTAATAAATTTTGTCTTTCTTTGATTTATTCTAAACCCTGTTCCGCCATCCATTTACTCAAGTTCACTAAGTACGTTATGCGTTGCTTTCCTCTGTACCTCTTGCCTACAATCTCTCCTGTGAGCATCAAAATTTCCAAGCCCTCTTTCCTCATTATGTGCCATAGAAAAACTCAATTATCTCTCCCCATTTTTGTTTCCATTTTCTCTAAAACTTCGTCGTGGCTCACATGTTCGGACCATGGTATCCTCAGCATACTTCTGTAGAACCAGATTTCTCTTACTTCAAGTTTCTTTTTCGTCTTGAGAATATTGTGTAGCACTCACTGTCATACAGAAGGATTGATGTTACGTAACAACTTAGTACTTTTTCCCTTGTTTCTAGCAATGTTTTTCTATTTCTTAGTACTCAGCTTTTGGAATGCATCTCTGTTTATTCCAACACGCCTTCGGATTTCAGTGTCATACTTTCCGTCCACTGTTAAAACACTTCCTAGAAATTTCAGCTCTTGTTTTGTTTTTTTGGTATCTCCGATTTGCAATTCGCAATTTGATCTCATCCTTTTGCTAACACCCATGCATTCTGTCGTCTTGCAGTTGATATATATATATATATATATATATCAAATATGTGGTTCAGTTAAATTTATAACACATTTAAAAAACATATTTCCCATCATATTTTTCGTCTCGGATCGACGGACTGGATAGTTGTAAGAAAAAGTAACTGGAATTAAGAACATTATCAAAAATAAAATAACACTATCAAAAAAAGATAAACAAAAAATGAAACAAAAAAGATAAATAAAAAATAAAATAAGACTATCAAAAAAAGAAAAATTGAAAATGCTTCATCGAATAAGGAATTAAAAAAATAATACTTTTTATTTTGTAAATATTGGCGCTAAAACAGAGAAAAAGTATATCAATATTAGAGATAAATAATAATAATAATAATAATTGGCAATGGATGTTGGGGTGGTGTAATGGTTAGTAGGTCGGAACAAGAAGTCGGCGAGTTGAGTTCGATTCCCAGTCGAGATCATTACTTTCCCTTTCTCAAAAATGTCCAATGCATCTATTTCATTCCTGAATTTGCACGAATCTATCTCTTTCCATCTAGTTATGGATTAAACAGTAGCATAGACTGAGCTCTCTGTCTGTGAGTGGCAACCGATGTAAGAGAATTCCATACCGTGAAAAAGGCAATGGAAATCTGTTATGGTAATTTACCCACACACGCATAGACTCTCCCAGCTATAAATAGGAGCAGGTACTGCCTTTTGGAGAGGGAAGTTTCCAGCAGTCAACTCTGACAGTCGGACCGAACGTTCTTGCTGTAACACTCTCGTTTGTATACGTTTGTGTTTCTGTTTCTGTTAATATATTTAACTCAGTTCCTCTCTTGTGTTTTTATCTCTGGTCCTAACAAGGCCACAACACTTTGTTAGATAGATAGATAGATAGATAGATAGATAGATAGATAGCTAAAAAGACTTTATGTAATGGTAATTTACCCATGCAGGCATGAAATCACCCAGCTATAAATAGGAGCAGGTACTGCCTTTTGGAGAAGAAAGTTTCCAGCAGTCAGCACTGACAGTCGGACCGAACATGCTTGCTGTAACACTCTCGTTTGTATACGTTTGTGTTTCTGTTAATATATTTGTTCAACTCAGTTCCTCGCTTGTGTCTTTATTTCTGGCCCTAAGAATGCCACAAAGAAACCATTCCTCTATCTCTCTAAAGAATGCATGATAATTCACAAATATTAATGAAGAAAGAAACCGTGTGGATCTATGATCTCCAACGTTATGAATGACCTACCCTGGTAATAAAATAAGCGTACCCCATCTCCCCTCTCGCTTGTAACGACCCATCGCAATAAAATAAACTTTTTTCAGCACTAAAGATGAATGAGTCGATTTATTACATTTTTTTTTATATTCAGCAATTACAATTTTTATTTAATCAGGGTTTACTGTAAATTCAGTCCTTAGGAAGCGTTTAGTTTCAAGGCCATTAAGTAGCAATCTACCCCCTGTAAAACCGTATTAAGCTGAGCAGGTCCACGATGAGATTTAGATGTACCACTAGACGTCATAGATCTTTATTCGAGTTCGGCTAAAGGATCAGGACTTGAAAATGTTGATTTTCAAGGCAATGCAAATTCCTCCTCAGTTTGATCTACACGCACCATCCTCACCTGACCTTGTACCCTACACAATTATAAATATCAGCTTGAACGGTCGGAGATCGCTACACCCCACCGAAGATGGTTGGGTGCTGCCAAAATCTCTATCTTTTTGCTTTATTAAAATAGCTTGAAAATATCGTCAAAATGAATGCAAAAATGACGTAGGCGCAAATTTGAAGAGAAGAGAAAAGTCGACAGACGAACATTGTTACTCTCAACTGAAATAGGAAAGAGGAAACTAATGGATAATGGCTGCCGTTTGTTTGTAAAGACTTCATATAAAAAGAAATGCGTCTAGAGAAATTTGGCAATTGTGTTTTTCAGCTGTTGAGTCAGGGTGGGTATTATGTAATGGTGTTTTTTTTTGTTCTTTTTGGGGGTTTTTTGTTCTTTTTTTGTCTTGATTTTTTTTTTTTTTTTTCTTTTTTTTGTCTTGATTTTTTTTGTTTTTTTTTTAAATCGGAATCACCCCAAGCAAAGCAGTAATGCCACTAAAACACAAGGGGTGGAAGAATTAGGAACAGAAAGAATAATGATGAGCCAAAAAAAGAAGAGAGTAATAAAGAGGATAGTAGATAAGCATTGATATTGCATTTAAATTTTGGCAAATTAAGGTTGGCTGGAAAGCATGGAGCCGGAAGGGTGTTCAACAAGCGAGAAGTGCAAGAAAAAAAACAAAAAAAAACTTTTAGCCTATAATTTACAGCTCCATCTAACCAGCTTAACTGTAAATTTGATGAGATCTCGACACCAGTCTAGTACTGCGCTTAAATTCAAAAAGTCTAGGTACCATAGGGAAGAATTCATTCTAACAGTTATCCTGAAAGTACTTATAGAAAAGACACAGAGTGGCAAGGTTATAGCGGCGGAAACGTCACGGGAGCTAAGCCGACAAATCGGAATTAATGATATTGATGATTCTTTGGATTTTCTCAAGGAGCTCAGTGTAAATAGCAGTGACAACAGACCATATATGGCATAAATATTCTAAGCATGAAAAAATTTAGACATATATATATATATATATATTCATTTTTCTTATATATATATAAGAAAAAGTTTGTTTGTCCGTATGTAACTTATAATATGTATATATATATATATATATATATATATATATATATATATATATATATACATGAAAAAAAAAGCCAAAAGTCAAGAAAATCTTGGAGATTGTGGTTGGGCGGTTGGGGTTGGTGAGAAACGGAAAATAATAATTGAAAAAAAAACAAAAAATTTACTTCAAACATCAGCTGCGTGTCGAACGTCTACAACTGACCTTGAAGAGAGTTTGGAAGTTGTCCATAATGGTGGGAACTGTTTAATGATATGCAAAGAATTGTTTATGGTAAGCGAATCCAAATAGTAGGGGGGACTATAATTACACGAAAAAAAAATTCCCCCAACTCTTCGGATTGCTACTGGAGAACACATTGCCAACCAACGTCATTGATTAGTGTTCATGGTAGGGTAAAAACAAATATTTCCCGTACTGTTTTTAAAGGCAGGCAAATATTACTATCTCCGAAAAGTGATGCTCACAATATTCAAAACTTTTAGCAGTATTAAACAAAGGATTCGTGCAAGGTGCAAGGCCAATTTGAAGGAAATATTTGAGCTTATTTTACGTAAAATAAATTTATGTCAATATCATTTTTTAAGCGGGGGTGTTTGGCTGCGTAAGAAGGATCTGAGAATTACATTGGAGAAGCGAGTAAGCAACGAGAAAGACTTAAATAATATGAAGACAAAACGATTACTTCTGCTCAGAACAAGGAAGAGGCAACAGAAAATCCTTGGGCACATCATGATGAAGGGAGACTTGGAAAACTTAACCCTCACGAGGCATATTAAGAGTAAGAAAGCTAAGAGAAGGCAGCGAGGCACCTGCCAGACGAGGTCCTGTGAATGGTTAGCGAACCGGGAAATGCAATTACCAATCAGTATATTTTTTTATTAGGCGCCAAACTTAGATGAAATAACGGTATGTAGTTATGGTCGTTTTAAAGAGTTGCTTAGATGTGGCACAAGGCCAAAATTATGGGGGACCTAGTGCGGATCGAACTCATTTTTCAGTCGTAACTGATCTAGCGAGACAAGCTTGCTAAACATTACACCATGCCGAGGTGCCCAACGTTATCGGGTTATGACCCGCATATACATACGTCCGTCTGCGTCTCCGTCAAAAAGTGAAGCGAACGAGAGACACAGAAAAGGCAACGGAAATTGTACTCCCCGAAGGGCGTGACACAGGCCAGTTGAATTTCAGTATCTTTACAAGCATATTTACATTACATCTGATAAGTCTCAAAGTAGTTGGAGATTTGTGCTGTGAATAGGAAGATCATTCTACAACATCTGATATTTAGAAAAAAATATTTTCCATTTTGGAAGTGCGATGGTGGCCTAACTGTAAACAACACAGATAATGAAAGCAGCAGCAAAACGAGTTCAAAATCCAGCTGACGTCGTCTGTATGCCTTTCAAAAGAATCCATCTTTATCTGTTTTCCTACTACTGTTAAATAACAGGAGAGTTGTAACTTTTCAGCCTTATGAGGCAGTCCATTGAAGGCAAAGACAAACTATAGCTGGGCGGATGTCTTGGGCGTCTTCGTTCACTAAGGAAAAGAGGGAAAGATTAAAGAGGAGATTTGGAATGCATATGATGACCACCGCTTTAACCAATCCGAGTTGGCGGGATACAGAACTTGTGGAATATAAACAGATTATCCTTCCCTGCTATTCGTAAGCGATTAACGCCAATAGCGTCAAGTCGAACTTGCATATACGATTCATTACTAAATATGCAAGAAATTGTACCGCTCTGGAAACTACGTAACTCCTTCTGCCATAATTTATCGTTACGAGAGTCCTCTTTGACCAAACATGATGTCACAATCACGAGTCCCGTATCCTATTAGGGGTCGTAGAGACACCGCATGCACTGCAGTCGTGACAACAATGGTGTTTCATAGATAAGGTCCCCTGACGGAGCCCAACCTGCTTTGAATTCAGAGTTTACATTCTCCGATATTGATTTTTGTTAATTCCCTCTCTCCAAGTTCTCCACCGCCTTAACCAGGTATTGAACTCACACTCTTTGGGTCCTGTCACTGGATCTAACTAACACCTTTATCCACTGTGCTATGGGTCCTTTCAGAGGGGAATTAACAGGAGATAACTGATAACTGACATCCATTAAACATGGCACGTGGAACTAGAACAGTCTACCACAGTGAGCGAAATAAAGGGTTCAGTTCGACATTTCAAACACCTGAAGAAGACCGGAGCGAAACGTTGTAATAAATATGGCGACAAAGATGAGGACAATAGTCCGAATAATGTAAATAATGTACATAATACCTCATCTCAGAAATATAGACAGATCCTATGTTTTTATATTCATGTTACACATCTTATTCATTAGCCATCTACCTGAGTGGCTCTTCGGCCTTGCAGTCGATAGACATTAGTAAAACAAAAAAACAATTGCAGCGTTCTTCGTTTTTATCCGTTTCTTCTCATATTACTGACAACACCCGGTTTATTATTTATACAGAATTTCTATGACTTCTGGCACGTCAATGTATTTAAGAAGTGGACGACCATGGTTCTCCACAACTTCCTATTCGTTGTTCTATTTGTCTATTTACTATCCATCCCACACCCTGTTCTGTAATCTATTTGCACAGTCTCGTTAGATACGCTACGCAGTTTCCCTCTAGCTGCTCTTGTCTTTAATATATCCAATGAGAACGTTAAATTCGCCAAGCCCTTTTTCCTCATGATATGTCCTAGAAATTCCAACTGTCTCTGCCTGATTCTAGTTTCCTTTTCCGTTTTCATTTTCTTTAAAACTTTATCTTTGCTTACATGTTTCATGAAAGTATTCTAAACACTCTTTTGTAAAACCACTTCCTTCCGTGTTGCCTCCAGTCTCTCATCATCTGTGGGGAAAGTTTCCAGCATTCACTTCCATATGGGCGCAATCATATATAGCAATTCAACTCGCTTTTCTTTGCTTCTAACCTATATTTTTTTTCTGTTTTTAATACCGCGTTTAGTTTTTGGAAGGCATCTTTTACAGTTGCAATGCAATTTCGGACTTCGGTGTCACATTGTCAGTCGTCTGTTATCCACTATTCGCTTCAGGGGAATTTCATCTTGATTTCGTTCAGGTATTTGCTGCATTATTTGCTCATTCATTTAAACGCATCCATTTTAGATTTTGCAATGATTGTTCCAGCTTTCCTTTGCAATCCAACTTCTGCACCGACTTTTTTTCCCCTCAAATCAAATTAATTCATGTTAATTTTACAAATATTTTAAGATTAAAACAAAACGCCTAGAGTTTTAAACCAAGATTACGTCATTCTTTCGTGCTATTGACGAGACCGACAAATCACGCGTGATCTTATCAATTTTGTCCAGACACCTCTGCTTGCCTTTTCTTCCTAAACTGACAAAACGTCTATCATGGAAATGATTTGCTTGATTAAGAAAGGCATAAGTTTGCCAATTCAGTCGATCAATAATTGGCTTAATATCGATTGGAAAATGGAAATCATACAATTACTTGCTTTAAAATGCTGAAAGTAAAAATGTGGAGACAATTATTCCTTCTCATCATGGCCATTATTGTTTTTATCGATATCATATGACTACAGTCAGCATTGAATATAAATTCGATCTGACAATCAGACAAACCACAAGTGATTTCCTCAATCGATCAGAAGTGATATTAATTTGAAATTTATCTTCAAAGTAATTGTCTTGATCGAATTTCGCGCCAGTTATTAAGTGTAACATCAATGTATAACTGTTTTCTTTAATTATTTAAAGAAAAAAGAAAGAGAGAGGAAGAGAGATAGAGAGAGAGAGTAGATGGAAAGCGGACAGAAAGAGCAATTATACTGCAGACAATAGATTTGTGTTATACTCAAGGACAAAAATAAAGGCACTAAAAGAAAGAAAGATAGAAAGGAAGGAAGGAAGGAAGGAAGGAAGGAAGGAAGGAAGGAAGGAAGGAAGGAAGGAAGGAAGGAAGAAAGAAAGAAAGAAAGAAAGAATAGGATAGAGAAATAGAAATCAAAAACACAAAAGAAAGAAAAGGAAGTTTTAAAGAAGAGTAAAAGAAAGAAAGAAAGAAAGAAAGAAAGAAAAAAGAATGAATAAGCGATAGAAAGAAAGAATAAGAGAAA